GGCTAGAGAGAGCGTAGGGTTTTTTAGTTTAATTTTTAAAATTTTAGATAAAACAAAAAATATTTCACTTATATACAGATAGATAAATGACACTATAAAGCCCTCCCACATCTATTTATGTATGTAAGACATCAAAGGATCGCCATTAAATTTAACACATATATTTAAAAAGTTATTATCTGTGTGTGGCACTTTACTTTTTTTTAGAGATATATGTCAAATTTAATGGTGATTATTTGGATTCAACACACATACATGAGTGTGGGAGGGTCTCATAAAATTATTACTCTATGCAGAAATTATAAAAAAGGTTGGGCAACATACTTTTTTAAAAAAATTTAAATTAATCTTTGATCGACTTGACTTTTGTGTTTTTTTAGTTTTTTTTATTAAAAAGGTATTGCTAGAAACTTTAAAACACTGCTCTACTGATTAAAAAACTAAAAAAAATAAAAATAAAAATTTGGCTTCCTTCCTAATTTCCGCATATAAAATAACGCATTTTATGTTTTATTTAAAAGTTTAAAGTCGGTACATAAACCGCGGTGAGTTGTGTCACGTGTAATAAGCGTGTGACAAGCATGTGAACGGGTAAAGGGCAGTGGGGCTTCACCTCTGTGAAGTAAGATGTCGCCCACTCACGTGGTAGACCTGACAACACTTCACACGAGGGCAAGTGAAATGCCAGACTTTAACTTAATGGCCCTTACTTAGTCGACGGTTTGTCCGAATGTGTGGTCTGGAGAGAGAGTCATTTGTGGTACCTTGAATTTTGAAGGCACGCTAGGAAAGGGGCGGGGTTGTGATGGTAGCAACCCATCATACTCAGTTACTACACCCTGATATCCAGGGCCGGTAACCATGGACCGGGCTAGCTTTGGCGGGTTGTTCGGATTAGACTAAAGAGTTCCAAGCTTAGACTAGGACCAAACCAATTAACTTTTAGCTTAGGCCAAATTTTGGCTACATGACACATTGTCATTTTTAAAGGGTCATTTAGATACCTCGAAATATATTGTCTTGTGTAATACATTACTGCGTAATACATTATCTGAAAATAGATTGTTATTGTTTGGGTAGTATTTAGATACAATCTGGAAAATACATTGCTACTGTTTAGCTATATCTTGAAGAAATATGAAAAATGCATTACCAATATTTTATCAGCACTTGCCTATAAACTATCATTTCTTTCTTTTTTTATCACAAAATTCTACTGAAATGCGGAATTAAAGTCATCATCATACCATTCCAAAAAGATTTTTTAATAATAACGTTATCACAATTTCAAAAAGATTTATAATAATAACTTATATCATTCTAAATGCATCATCACATCATTTCCTAACATGTCTTCTAACATGATTAGATTACTAACATGATTAGACTTTGGTTTCAACATGACAAGGCATTTAATTAATATGATTGAAATAACATGTTTTTATTGCTATAAGTCTTATTTTTATTTATTTTTTATAGAAGTCTTTTAAATGTCTCTCAATGTAATTTCAAGTAAGCAGTAAATTTAGGACGCGGTTTGTATAGAGCCTAAGCTCTAAGCAATCAAATTAGAGCCTACATTTAAATAGTGTCGAGAAATGTGGTTTCAATACTGGAAATCTTTGTGATAGTCTTAAAATAAATTTCCATATTTATTTATAAAGCTTAACGCTTCCAAAATATTGTACATTGACAGATCTATGAACACTTGAAAATCTAGAAAATTGACCGTCAAAAAATGCGTTACAAACTACATTATTTCCAAAACTTAAAATCCACTTTTTTCTCATGTCCATGCATCTTGATGTCGAGATGATCAATTTGAAGATATTTGGGAATCAAAACAAGATCTTCTAATGGAATTTTTTAGGTGGGCTCAAATTTGATTGTTTAGAGCCTCGACGCTATATAAACGTTTCAAATAAATTTATGATACCAAATTAAAAATCTTTATGGTAAAAGTTAGAAAATGGAAAGAAGCTTGATTAGTAAACTAGAAGGTTTGGTAATTTCATTAGAAAATTTTGAGGCATTAAAGAACACTAAAGATGCATTTTATTTCATTTGAGCTTTTACTAATCTCTTATAAGGATTATATTGTGTAAAAAAATTTATTATGATTTTGTTGCATAATTTTTCATTGATTACCCATTATTATTTTTATTATTTTTGTTTTTATATGAGAGCTACAACTTAATTTGGGAATAGAAGGATGTAGAAATAAATATGTGCAGGAAAATGGATGTGATAAGGATGGGCAAACACTTATAGGTGGAGTTGAGAAAGAGATAGTAGAAATGGATGTGTCTATACAAGAGGGAGAATGTCAGGAGAAAGGATGTGTATAAGAGACAACGAGAATGACGGGAGATAGAGGATTTTTATTTATTTATTTTTATTTTTTTGCAAGAAACACGCGTTGTTAGATTACCCGCGCGTAATGGATTTCACAACCATTCTTTGCATAATAGATTTCTGGAAATGAAGTGTACCCAAACATGGTAAATCCCATATTTTCTTGTAATATGTTTCTATGTAATAAATTTTCAGGTACCCAAACGTCTCCTAAATGTATTTCGGAACGTTGTATAATTTATTCAGAAAGTCACTTCATACTTATTTAATCGCGACAGTGTTTTTCTAAGGGATGCAGTTTTCATGCGGCCAACCCATATATTGTAGAAATACGGGCTTCGCAATAAAGATATATTTTAAATATAATTTGAACCTAATTTTTAGAAAAATTATAATCTTTACCATAGAGATCATGAATATGAAAAACAAAAACAAAAAATTAAAAACTGAAAATAATAATTATATCAAGAACACATCCAAACCATTCGTTACTATGGTTTTTTGATAGACCACCTATTTGCATTCATCTTTAAGATGGATGCTTAATACCTCTAAACCGTATTAGAAAAATGTGGTCTGGCCTGCATAAAACAAATTTCCTTTTCTAAATCTAAGGATTTACATGAGCGAAGAACCAAAAGAGTAGTCTCTTCACTTGTTTGGAAAGGTGTGTCGGAGACCATTTTCACGCACACAGAGAGAGATCCATTCAATGGGAAGGGGCAAAAGAATCACTTCCACCCCTTCGGGTAGATTTGACTCTCTCGGGTGAAGGATCAAGAGAATTTCACCTTGTTTACTGTAAAACATGAAAAATGCCTGTCCCTTTAAAGATATGATTTTTTTTTTGACCAATGTTATCAGATATTATTGACATGAAAAAATTACGATATCCAAATTATTATCGTCTGAGATCACAAGAGAGGGTAATGAGATCCACTTTTAGCAAGTTAAAGCTCAACCATATCAAGGGTCAATTATGAATTAGGTTAGGTTTAAGTCGTTAACAACATTAGCAACACTACATTCCAAAATTCCCATTTTTATAATATAATTCATATAGCACCAGTTGTCAGGTACAAAATAAAGAGTGAGAGATTGCAACTTGACTAAAAAATAAAAAATAGAAAGAGTCATCACCTAGCTAGAGAGAGAGGATGGGGAAGGTTGTCAATTCTCAAGAGAGAGGATGTTGTCTGAAACTTATCCAAAGTGAAGTCTTTCCCATTATCACTCCTACATAGACAAGCCTTTTCTAAAGGCAAACAAGAGTTTTCCAATATCCCTTTTCTTTTTTTTCTTTTTTTTTTTCTTTTTGGAGGGGTTAGGTATGTACGGAATGGGTAAAAAGGTGCGAAAAGGGGTTGTCAACCTCTCTGCACACAATGTTGGGCTAAAGATGTAGGGTGGTTCGATGTTCTTTTTATTGGACCGCCCTAGAAATCAGTGGGTTCGATATATTAAATATTTCACTAACCCACTCATGTCATTAATATATATATATATATAAATTTGATATTTGAAATATCGAACTAAAAATTAAATTAAAAAATAAAAATTAAGAACAGGACCTCGTGGAAAAATTACTATATTTTATGGATCGAAGGTGAGTTTGGAAGTATATAATAAAGAATAATTTTTTTTACCAAAAGATATTCTACCCCCTCAAGAGTATACAGCCCATTTACTCTTTCAGATGAAACCCCACGTAGTAGTAGTTTTAGGACCTCAAAATTTTCAGATATAACCTGTTTAACATATAGATTGACCTCAATAAAAAAAATCCCTAATCGCACCTTCTAAGCACTTAAAAAGAAACCATCTCCCATGATTGAATAGAAACCATCCAATTTCTAAAGGGTAAGACCTAAGTATTATTAGAAAACAAAAATTTCAAATTCTTTTTCCGAGAACTAATAATTTTAAGAGAATTACCAAAACTTAAGTTTGAAAAAATCCTCCCAAATAAATTATGTGTACCTAAGCTCCTTTCACATGATTAGCCATAAAAATCTAGAGAGAGGGTGAAATTCTAGAGAGAGAGGGGAGGCGAGAGACATTTTCAAAGAGAGAGAGAGGGTGAAATTAGAGAGAGGGAGGCGAGAGCCATTTTCTTAGAGAGAGAGGGTGAAATTCTAGAGAGAGAAAGGGTGAAATTCTAGAGAGAGAGGGAGGCGAGAGCCATCTTCTTAGAGAGAGAGGGTGAAATTCTAGAGAGAGAGGGAGGCGAGAGCCATCTTCTTAGGGAGAGAGGGTGAAATTCTAGAGAGAGAGAGGGAGGCGAGAGCCACTTTCTTAGAGAGAGAGAGAGAGTAGGGGTTGAAATTCTAGAGAGAGAGAGAGAGAGAGAGAGAGAGAGAGGAGGAGGACGTCTTGTTGTTCGTCCTTCCGTTCGTGTTACGTACGTACTACGTTCTCTACTACGTAACGACGACGACGTACTAACTAAACTTAA